TTATTTCATTTAATATGTACAATGTGAAGAAGGAAACAGAAGTTAGAGAATCTGAATGTTTTTTGCTTGAATATTGCCAATCCCCATTTTTATGTATTTGTAATTTGCTATTACAAAGTATTAAAGTGACATTTAATTCCCCCTGGCATTTTGCTTTTTTAGAAATTAAAGCAGCCCTCTCAGCACTGCATTGAAGTGAGTGCACCCATACCAATGGGAGCTCTGAGCACAAAACCTCATCAGCTGTGTAATAATCCTTACAAGATTTGTAGTATGGAGAATTCCCTCAGGAGTGCTGTCCTCCATCCCATGGAATGGATCCTTGTTCTTTTGCAGAACTGATAAGGGACAACACTGTTTGTTTGGACAAGCAGAAACAGAAAGAAAAGGCACCTGTACTTTCTGTTTCGTTTTGTTGGGATTTTTTGTTGTTTGCTTTTGGATCACTCATCTCAGTTGAATTCAGTACTTCATTCTTTTTCTCCTGCTGCCCCTGTTTTCCAAGTTATCAGCTTCTCTCAAGGGTCCTGTAATTTTTAGAGCTTTTCTTAAATCTTCATCTCCTGGAGCCATTTCAGCTGTGATATTTTAAAAATTAAGCTTAACCTTTAAAAACTAAGCCTGCAGAAGCTGTATCAGAGATGACTGAAGACAAATTGAAAAGCAGGGACCTCTTGACAGTGAGTGGCATCAGAGCTTCCAGTGAGCTGGAAGTCACAAGTTTGATCAGGAGTGATTTTGGGGTTATTTTCTTGTGGGAATGAAGTTTATATGGTCATGTCATGTAGGCAGAGGTATATCTGAGGGTGTATCCATGTTGTTTAATAATGTTTGAATCTACTGGTTTACTCCAGACAGGATTAAATCTGACAGAATAATTTAGTTCCTGTGACTTTCATGAAAATAAGTTGTGGAGCAGGGAGGATGTATCATGTTCTCCCCTAATCATGGAAAATCTGCAGCAGAAAGTTTTGGGCAACAGCATGCACTGGCCAAAGAGAAATCCTAAATAAATCACAACTTTGGAAGAGATTTCAGTTAAAACTTGCACCTTACACCCTAAAGTTAACAAACCATGAGGCCCAGATGTGTGGGGAACCAGGCTTCCTTCATTCTGATAACAAGCTTTAATTTCAAGGGAGTTAAAACATCTACTGAAATCACATAAAGAGTAAAAAGCTGAGAAGAGTAATGGATGGAGTAACTTTAACTACAAAGGCGACCAAAATATGGGATTACTAGGGTGAGGGGGAACAGCAGATGAGGAATTTCTACACCTGTTGTGCATGAGGGGGGAGCTAAGGAATAGAAAGTCAGGAAGGGAAGGAAAAGCAAAAGGAAGCAGGAGGAGAAAAGAAAATTCAAGTTGGGAAAAGCATCAAGAAAGGCTTTGAAGATCACTGGGAGGAGAGATTAAACAGAAACTAAATTAGTTTTAATTTAATCTGTTCGCTCTCAGAAGAAATCAGTGAACTCCCATCCAAAGAAGTGCAGGCGAGGCAGAAGGAGAACAAAGGGGTTGCAGGGAGAATCAAATTTGAAGAAGAGGCAGGTCTGGACATGGGAAGCAGTTAATTTTAAGCACTGTTTAGTGAATGTGTCACTAATGAATGTGTCAGGGATAATGAGAGCTGAAACTTGTGGTAGGAGCAGCCAACCTGGCCACAGGAGCTGTATGAGAGGTGCTGTTACACAGCACAGGAGCGGAAACAGAGATTCTCCTGTGAATGAGACAAACTAAGAGTTGGTTGGGTTTGTTGTTTTTTGGGTTTTTTTTTTCCTAATCTTGTTTAAATAAATCATTCCCATTGAGATTGAGCCACAATTTACCCATCTGAGCAACCTGGATTAGCACAGCTCAGTTCCACCCTCTCTGCTTGGTGCAGAAGTTCCCTCTCTGCTCTCAAGCCCGATGTCCACATGGCTCTGACTGTGCAGGGGAAAATGGCAATGGAAAAGGAACCCCTGAGAAGGCTCCAGGCAGTCTGGCAAGGGGATGGAGCAACTGTTTTGTCAGTGGACAAATGGTGGCAGTGTGGACAGGGTGACAAGATTCCTGAAGCAACTGTGTTGGCTGGACACAGCAGTGACGTGCAGGGGACTGAGGGCAGACCTGGCTTGCGGGAACATTTAAGTAGCTGTTCCTATTGCCAAACTATTTGCCAGACCTTTAAAAAGTGGCCTAGCCCAGGAAAGTGTTCTGCAAAACCAAAAAAAAAAAAAAAAAATAGTTTGCTTGCTACTGTTAAACCAGGGAGAGAGACATGGACCATGAACAAAGGTAGGGTATTCCCAGTTTAATGGGAACAGGATAATCAAGTAGATTCCCAGTGGCGGCTTTGCAGAGGGAGTACAAGACCTGAAAGCAAAACTGCTTTGGGTTTAAACTGAGCTCCCTAAAATGAGATTTGCTTTTTATGTGGCACTTTCTTCCTCCCCTTGCTCTCTGTTCTCAAAGCCAGCAAGGTGATGTGGGGATGATCATCCAGAAGCCTTGAGAACGAAGAACAAGGTGGAGATGACAGATCCATCACCTGTGACATGCATGACTCAAAGCATCCCAGCCCTTTTGCACTGCAGTCACTTTTTAAATATCCCAACAGCAAAACGGCCAAGCCATAGGGCACCCTCCCGAAAGCACATTCCTGACACTTGTATAGGAATGGTTTGGGAAAAGGGGGAATATTTAACAGCGGGAAGAAGCTGTGACAGCAGTGGTTCCTCCCTGGCGGAGTTTCAGTAGAAAACACCCGTGTGGCCAGCATCTTTATTTCAGGGCATGGCAGGACCCGAGCAGCGCCCGATCCGCGGGCAGGATCCTGAGGGACAGCGCAGCTCCGCCCTCACTCAGACCCCGCAGTTCGGGGGTTTGGGGAGAACGGGGGGCGCAGCTTTGGAGCTGGAAGGGTCGCAGGGCTCAGCCGGGCAGCTTCACCCCACACAGGCCGCAGGAGAAGTTCCTGGGACAGCCTGTGAGGAGCCTCCAGCGCGGCTCCCGCACTCGGGGCTCCCCGGGGGGCGGCTCCCGGGGGCACCCCACAAGGCGCGGGGGGCCCGCAGCTCCAACAGCCGAGGCAAGGGACTCCCCCATGCCCGGGGAGCAGCGCCCTGAGGCGACCCCAGAGCGAGCACCAAGCGCTGTCCGACGGAACGCGGCACAAACCCGACCGCCGCCGCTCCCCTCATGGCGGAGCCACTTGGTATCTCCCTCCTCCCCCCACCCCTAGCAGTGGTTTCACCCCCCCGCCTCACACACGGCGAGGGGCGTGGCCTCACCCTCACGGCTTTCCCCGCCCTCTCATCCATATTCATGAGGGAGAGACGGGCGGCCCCAATGCGGAGGGGCGGTGCACCCAAGCCCCGCCCCCGAGCGATGAATATTGATGAGGCGCGCCGTGGCGTCGGGGGCGGCGCGGGCGGTGATTGGCCGGGCGCGGCGGCGCGCGGTGACGCGCGCGGCGGCGGTGCGGGTCCCGATTGCTGCAGCCGCTTGTCAGTGTGACGAAGATTGGCACCCGAGGTAAGCGCTGTCACTCAAACCCCGCTCCAGCCCCGCCGTCCATCACGGCGCGCCCGCCGCCCGGGCACGGCCGCACCGGGGAAGCGGCAGAGCGGCTGGGGAAGGGGCGAGCGGGGCGGCGGCGGCGGCGAGGGGAGAAAGGGGCACCCGCGCTCCGCCGCCGCTCGCACGGAACGGGGGGTTTAAGGGGCGGTGGCGGGCGCGGGGAGGGGAAGGAGGGGAAAAGCGGGGAGGGGTGTGGGGGGAGGGAGCGAAGCGAGGAAGGTTCTGGAACGGCCGCCGTGCGCCCGTTGTGTCCCGGCGGGGGCGCGCGCGGGGAGGGGACGCGGGAGCGCGCGCGGGTCCGCGCGGAGGAGAAGGAGGAGGAAGAGGAGGAGGAAGGAGATGGGGGCGATGGGATGGGGGGGGAAGCAGGGAAGGGAGGGAAGGAGGGAGAGGAGGCGACGCGGTGCTTAAAGGGGCAGCGCCGTGCCGGCCGCTCCTCGGAGGCGGGGGGGAAACGGGGGTCGCTCCGGGGCCGCAGCTGCTGCTCCCCGCTCTCCTCCTCTCCCTGCTGCCATCCCGCTGCCCCGGCACACCTGCCCTGCCCGGGGGGAGCCGGAGACGTCCCCCGCTTTGGGGGATGCTCCCTGCTCTGAGGGATGTCCTCCCGCTTCGGGGGATGCTTCCCCCGCCTCCCGGTCACAGCGAGCGGGGCCCGGCCGGGTTTGTCCCTCGCTCCCGGCTCCGTTTCGCCGTGACCCCGCGCTCTCCCGGCCGGGCTGCGAGCTGACACCTTCCCCGCAGCCAGGCCCGGGGCTGCCGGGTGTTTACGCGGCCGCAATTAGGAGCTGAGACTTGACACTGGCCAGAGGCCCTGCTGGGGATGTGTGTAAACAATAATAAATCAAGCGCTGGTTTTATCCCCGAGTATTGCTGAGCCGCGTGTCCCAGCTCTCATGGAGCAGCCCCTGGCTTTCCTTCGCTCCCACCGCGCCGGAGTTGGTCAATTAACAATATAACAATATGAGTAGTTAACACGTTCCTGTGATAATTCTTTGTATAGCTTGTTGCTATTTTAAAGTATATAATTTATTAAATATTTTATTAAATGGTGATATGTAGTGGAATTTTGTAGACAGGTCACAGTGTTGGTTTATTTTTTTAATCTGCTGCTGCTGAAGTTTTAGTCCCTTTTTGCAGTTTTGTCTGAGTAAATGGTGTGGTTTAGGGAGGGAGAATCCCAGAATGGTTTTAGTTGGAGGAGACCTAAAAACTCATCTTGTTCCAGCCCCCTGCTATGGGCAGGGACACCTTCCAATATCCCAGGTTGCTCCAAGCCCGAATGTCCAACCTGGCGTTGGACACTTCCAGGGATGGGGCAAATAATTTATTAGGGGAGTAAATAATTGGGCATTAAATATTTTTTTCCTAATACAAGACACTATATCTGGTATGAAACCCTTAAAAGTGAATAAACTGCTGGTTTGTTGGCTTTTTTCCCCCCCCCCTTGCATTTGAGTGCTGCCAGGCAAGATTCATTTTTTTGTCCTTGCCCCTCTTTGGAATAGGTTGTGAGCATTCCATTAAACAGATCCCAGGAACAGGGAACATGGCATTGTGTTCTGGATGTTGGAAAACACTTGGGCCAAAATCCTGTGGAGGAAAGCAAGAGGCTGTAGGTCACTCTCAAAGTATGCTAAATATCTCATTTATGTTTTTTTTTTTAACTAAAAAAAATCCTTTCTTAGTTTTTACAAAAAATTGCACATTTAGTTAGTTCCTAATTTTATTCTCGAGCATGCTCTTGCACAAAATTTCATTAATGTAGATTGTTTGATGAGGGGAATTGTAACAAGTGTGGCTTAGGAAATGCACCCATCCTGCTGTTCTCCATACTGTGCCCACACTCCCAGGCTGTTCCCTGTCCTCTGTGGGGTATAATTGTTCATGGGCTGTGGGGTTACATCCCTTAGCTGTGTCTGGGTGGTGTGAGATGGCTTCTGCAGCTGGATGGAGCCCTGGTCAGCCCCTGTTAGCTCCATGTGTGAATTTTATGGATTACACTCAGCCAGGAAACAAGATGTGATTGTATCAGAAATCCATCCTTACATGGATTTCCAGGCTCTGTCATTGCTACACTATCAAATGCATTTTGAGTGCATTTTCTGTCAAGTAAAATTACAGATTTATCATTTTCTGAGTGTGTGTAATCACATACAGAATCATTACATTCAAATTTTCAAAAATTTCTGATGGAAAAAAATCCCCCAAACACTTTACATAATCTATTCAAAATAATTATTTTTCTCACAAATGTTCTATCTTCAGTTTATTTTATGAACTATAGAGTATATTTTTTTTCACTGTCACCACTTGACATATTTTCTTGTCATCTCATAATTGAAGTATCCACAGGAAAACTTCAGTGTAGGTTTTACTGTGTTTTCTTTACATAATCTCCAGTTCAGTGGTGAAAGGCAGAGCTCAGTGTGCTGCAGTCACAGGGTAAAAAGGGAAAATAACAGAGTAAAAAGGGAAACTCACAGGGCAAAAAGGGAAAGTCTGAGATTTTGGAGGCTCAGATCATTTCTCATTGATCTGCCCAGTGGATTTTGGCCATGCATTTTTTTAAATGTATTTTTCTGAATTTTTTTCTTGTTACCATTTCCCATCTGCTGATAGAAAACCCAAGAATTCATCACATTTTAAGTACATTGTTGTTGTTCTTAGGGTTGGTGGGGATTTTGTTTTGTATTTGGAAATTTCACTTTGGCATGTAAAAAGTCAAGCTGGTATTAAGTACTTACAGCTTTGATTTGTACTCTTAATGCAATTTATAATATTTGGGTTAAATAAAAATAACATTTTAAAGCTAAATCCTTGCAATTTTCCATGATAGGACTGAAAGGAGTTTAGAATGAATTAAATAAAAATTTAATTTATTTTAAGTGCTTTAGTCTTATAAAATGGTAAGTCTTCTGGAAGCTGTTTTTCTTCTTCAGAATTTTTCAACTGTATTTTTTCCAAGCTTTCCAACTGTAAATGCAGTGCTCTAACGAATCCCTAATAATTCTGATTGCTACCACAGCAAGTTTGGGAGTGTTCAGGAGCAATTCCATTTCCTGGAAAAGAGGAACTTTGGTGGAATGAAACCCTGTGTTAGTGACCAAGGGTGGCTGATCACAGAGCCACCACTGTGCCACTGGAACTGCCTGTTCTAATGGCCTGGGAATGTCCTGAGAGGAGCAGCCCAAATTGTATTTCAGAATATTATGTCGTGGTCTGGCAGCCAAATGTTGCCTCTGCAAAACTGGCACATATGTGAAAGCTTACAGTAAAGCAGATTAATTTTTTTATTTTGGTCTAAGTAAGACCAAATGCAATTTTTTTGTGTGAAATTAAAAAATGTTGCAAATGTTACTTGTCTAGCAGCAGCAGCAGCAGCAGCTGGTTACTTCACTTCTCACTTGTTCAAAGAGTCTGTAAGTTTAAAAATGAGAAATCTCAGAGGGGTTTATTTTGCTACAGCTCAGTGCTGTACAAAATGTAAAACAACTTACTGCTCCTCTAAGCAAGAGGATTCCAAGAGCAAGGAGAAAAAGCTGCTGATGGAGTTCTTTCATTTGCTTACTTGAGGCCAGATGTTGCCAGAATCTTTTACCCAGACCATTTTAGATGTCCCCAAGGGAGTTGAACAGTGAAATATTCACACTTGTGGCAGGTTCTTCACTTTGCTCACTGTGAGGTGGTTTCATGCCAGAACTGTGGAACATGGGATTCATCAGGTAGATCAGGGGTGGAAAATAAAAAAATGACACTGTGGATCTGGAAATGCCAGTTTTGTTGTTATGGCACATTTTTATCAAGCTGCTGAGGGGCAGTAACTTGGTTCTCCTGCCAGCACTGAGGGGATCCCATGTCATATGTGGCACTGGGAGGGAAATGTGGGTGCTAGAAATGGAAATAAAACTCAAACCTTGTGCTGGCATGGTTGGTTCTCATCCTCCACAGGAACACAGTGTTTGGGGTTTGATGTGGCAGCTGCTCCAGGCTGTGCTGTTCTCATTTTTTAGTACCTAGATGTACAAGAGGTATTTGCTGTTAAACCTGAGGGCTGTTAAGTACACAGAGAGTCAAAAGGTGATTTTTGAGAATGGGAGCTGAGTGTGATGATCACAGACTGTTCCTCACCCTGCTGTACCCAGGGATCTGCAGCTCTCCTTGCAGCTAATGGGAAATTCAAGCAAAAAGTAGAATATGGCAGCTTGTTTCTAGTATACTGAAAGAGGGATCCATTTCTTTTAAACCTCCAAATTCCAATTTTTATTTTATTGGTGAGGTTTTGGAATTGCCTGTGTTTTTTCTTGATAGCAGAAGAAGCTAGGAAGTGTGGCTGTACTTCACATCCTGCTTGGCTTTTTATGAGTTACACAGCAAACAAAGCAAAGGGAAAAGGATATTATCATACTTGCTGAAAAATAAAGCCCAAGCCTTTTATATTCCAAGGAAACAGAGGCAATTAAAGAACAGAAAGTGGATCTTTACATGTTTTTGACACGCCTAGAGAACAGGAGAATGAAAATGTGTGTGCTGTGTTGTATGATTTTGTAACTGAAGAACTTTTGGGTCAGTCTGTGATCACTTAATTTATGTTTTATGTGGTCTAGACCATGATAGTAGCAATACTAGAAGGAAGATTACCTGGTTATCTTTTATTATTATTATTATTATTATTATTATTATTATTATTATTATTATTATTTTGAGGTGTTGGTTTCAGTAGCTTAATTCTTAGTCCTACTGAAATTTGCCACGATGAATATGTTTGAGCAGGGTTGTTCTGCCAACTTAAAAATGACTCAGCATCTTGAGAATGACTCTAAGTAAATATGTTCATTTATAAGAAAGGCAGGATTCTTCTTATTTAAGAGCTTATCAGCAGCTGAGTTGTGGATTTTAGTGTTGCAGAAGGGAAAGGATTATAAGCATTCACATGGAACATTTGGCTGCTCATTGAGAACCTCCAACAGACCAAAACCTCTTGGAAAACCTGCTTTAGATGGTGCTGGGCAAATATTTATAATCTAAATTACCTGAATATTCTGTGAGTGTCCTCCTGTCTGTTGGTCCTTGCATGTCACCTGTCTGTGCAGGCATCACCTGGGCCAAGCAGTTCAGCATGATGCAGCTCACAGCAGCAGGTGATGAGTAAGTTTAACCCTAAATTGTGTTTTTTTTACCCCAGAACACTTGGGCAGCAGTCATAACTCCAGGGAGGATGGAGACTTGTGTTTGGGAGAGGTGGGAAGCAAGAGTGGAGCAGGAAAGGAAGAGTTTTTATTTCATCCTCATTTTAAAAAGAAAATAACAGTTCATTTTAACACCTAAACTCAGTAGCAAAACAAAGCTAATTGTTCAGGTTTGGCCAAATGTTGGAGTCAGAACAGGGAAGATTCTGGAAAAGTTTGTGATGGATTGGAATTGGATTTCACAGAGCGTTGCAGGGCCAGGATTTTCTGTCACTTTCAGGTCCAAGTTAATGCTTGATTCATTAATGGGGTTGTTATTCCAGAAATCATTAAAGATATAAAAATTAAATAATGGTAAGGGAACATCTTGGTCTTGATGAATTGTTTAATCGCCAAAAATGTGTAGAGGGCATTTTCTTATCCATTCAACATCCAAAGTCCATTTTAAATGCATTTATTATTTAAATAAAAACTCCTGTTAACCCTTCAATGTACTTCAACAGCATCAGGAATTCACCCCTTCATAGAATAACTGGAAACTTTTATGGTTTTATAATAAAAAGGTTGGAAAACATAACATATGCTTAGACAAACTGCTCACATTGTAAAGTATTCAATAGCAATAAAGGCAGAGAGACTGGTGGTTATTCTGTGTCTTCCTTATGAAACCACAAAATATAAACACAAAACAAGATTCATTTCACTCATAGTTTATTGGGTGCTGATGCAAATCATGATTAAAATAGGATTTCCTGTTGCTTTGGATTAATTTGCCTGGAAGGAGATGGTTGCATGAGTGTCTCCAAAATTAGGAAATTTGGGATGTGCTCATGTGGAAACTCCAAAGGCTTCAGTGGCAGAGGGATGGATTTGTGTCTGGGGCATAAGCAACTCATGTTTATCCATATGGGGAATGCCAGAGAAATGATGAGACTGGTGGAGTTCTCACCTTTTTTTTCTGTTTATTGAGTTGTTTTTGTCTTTTTTTAATGAAATTTGGTTTGAAAAAGTACTTAAATATCAGTAAGCAGGAGCTGTACAGGATCAGTTCCAGCTGTGGAAGTGCTGATACACATCCTCTGGGATGTAAGGAGTGTTTGGAATCTTTCCAATGCCACCCTTCTGTCACAAGAGCAGCAGGGCAGATGTGACACCATCTTCCTGATTTTTGGGTCCAACATGTTCTGAAAGCACATTGGGTAAAAACTGAGGGCAAAATCTCCTTCTCTGTCCTGTGACAATAAATATGTGTGAGGATTCATGATGTGAGTGTGAGGATTCTCATGCTGGACCCATAAAGTCCTTCTGTTTGTAGTGTTAAGAATACAGAAAAAAAAAGGAATCTTCTTTTATTATGTGAATATTGATGATGGATGAAAAAGTGATGGGAAATATTTTTGCTCCCTCATACCCTAATCCCTCAAGAGTCTTGGAACAATTAAAGAGGGAGGTTTCCTTTCCCCAAAGTTTTGTTTTTCTCTTGCCAAAATTGCTGTTTAGTCCCCTAAATTCCTTACTATTACTTTATGGGGCTAATAAAGCAGGGTCAAATTGCAGTGTGAATTGGGTGGGAGAAATGAGATGCTGCAGGAAGTTCCTTGAATTTGAGGATCTTTCCATAGTCAGAAGAATGAGGATTCTATTTTGCAGAAGGTAGGAGAGCAACTTGAGGATTTCCTTCCAGAATTTCAAGAGCTGCCTGAGTGCAGGGTCCCTGGCATACATCATTTTATGACTGGATTGAGTAGAATTCCTCATCTTTCTCATCCTAGTTAAGAAGGACTGTGGTAGATTGGTGATGACATGGAATCAGGAATGTGAGCCATGATTTTGCACCTTTCCCTATAAATATGCTGGTGTACCCACCAAGGATATGTGCAGAATCAGGAGCTGGAGTTCTTCACTCCAAGATCCCCTCAGTTTTATTTCTTTTGTTGTGTCTGGAGAAATTTCTATGATCTATGCATCCTTAATATTCATTTTATCAGTTAACAGCATATGCAATTTTTGCTTATAATGTGTCACTTTTATTTTTTTAATTTGGTACTTGCAAATAGGAGAATTTATAGGATTAAATGTAACAAAAGCAGAGTTTAAACAAAGAGTGAGTTGCTAAAAGAGCACAAATCTTGCAATGAGTTGGTTTGTTGTGGGTCATGCTGTGTGACAGTGTGTGCTGGTGCTTGGGAGGTGGCCTGTGGTGTGAATACTTTGTATGGATTGTGAAGATCTGAGATGGAGGGATATGAAAAGAGGATGCTAGGAAAGATTAATGGGATAACAAAGCAGTGGATGCACTGTTGGAGAGGCCTTGCTGAATAAAGTCACTATTACATAGCATCTCTGTTCAAAATCCTACATGTAAGGAAAGGTTGATGGTAGCTTGGGGTGTAGCCTGTATTTCTGCAGAAATTCAACTTTAGTTGTGGATTTTAATTTATTTTTAATTTTCCATTTCTTAAAAGTATAATTTGCATTCATTTTTTTAATGTAGTCTCATATTCATCAAGATTAACATATAAATAACTCTATTGCAGCACCAAACAATAAAGGGAACAAAGTGACACAGAATAAATCTCATTTTACTGCAGCCCAAAATTGGTTTTGTGGCTTTTTAGGGCTTGGCTCCCAGGGCAATTGCCAGCATAGTTGTTGTAGAGTAACTGAGTGGCTGTGTCTGTGTGATGGAATCCCTGAGGCTGATGTTATGTTCCTGAACAGGAACATTGTCTTTCTTAAAAGTATAATATTCTAAATAATGACTGTACTTTTAAAGTACATGAGACAGAGGAAATGGAAACTACCTTGGGTGCTGAATGAGAACATTCTAATTGAGCACATTTTTAATAAACTTGTCTGCATCAACTTCAGATTGATTTGTTTGTCTTAATTTCTGTGAATGACTGTGCGTGGCCAGGTCAGTGGAGATGGAGATGAACTGCAGCAAAGGTGGGATGAATCCTGGCTGTTGGCATGTGTGCTCTACTTACTGCTTCATTATTTGAATCAATTTTTGCCATCATTATTTGAATCTATAAAAATACATGGATCTTAATGTCTGCTGATATTTGTTCATGTGAATGTGCTCACAGGTGTTTGCTCCCTGTGATGTGAAATGCAGAATGAGAGGGTGACTCAAATGAGGGCTCTTCAGTGCTTGAATGAACAAGTTCCTATTTGACTTTGTAGTTAAAATCCCAGTGCTGATTCACCTTCTTAGAGACAAAGCAAGTTGTCCTTTGTTTTGGTTTCATAGTTAGGTATTTTTATTATGATTGGCGTTACTTTAAAGCTTGTGTGCAATAGGAATTAAAGGAAAACAAAAATTGGCAATAGCAAGGGCAGGTGAAGACTCCACAGTGCCTGGGTGTTGTGTCCACACTGTAACAGGTGTATCTGCTCCCTCTTCCTTTTCCCACTGAAATATTTAAGACATCATCATCTGCAAGCTCAGGCTTTCCTGTCTGATATGTTTTAGGGTTCAGCAGTATTAAATGTTGCCCAGTGTCTCTTTGAAATGGGCAATATCACTGCTACATCCTCTGGCTCTTCTCAGCCACATCCTTCCCTCTGCAGCAGCTTTCACCCAGACCTGCATTTCTTTAGCACCTCTTTGTTCCTGCCCTGGATATCTCATAAGCTGCCTAGAAATGTGCTTTTCCCAGAGTTTCAGTGGAAGGCTTTGCAGGCAAGGGCTACTTCTTCATACACTGAATATTGTGTGACCAGATCTGGCAGCAGTTCTTGGCTGCAGTTATTTCTGAATACAGGAGCAGGATTTTCAGATTTTCAGTAGTTCTCCTTATGTCTGAGCAGAGACAAGGAATGGATAATTCATCCATTTATCCATCCTGATTTGTCTATCAGTGACCTCTGTTCTGAAGATGCCATGAATAGTGAGAAGTCTTTATTTGAAAGTAGCCCAGTAAATTGAAGTGAGAATGAGTACCAAAATGCATGGCATGTGAGGAAGGGAGTAAGAGGGTTACACTGTCCTCAGAATAGAATTAAGAAGCTGCAAAAATGAGAGAAGCCCATTTTCTGAAGACACAGATCTTTGATGGTTTAAGGAAAAATGGTAAGAACTTCTAATGTGCCATCAGCTCCTAGAACCTTCAGAACCAGGTCTGTTACTTTGGGCTGAAACTCCTTCTTGCTCAGTGTTCAGTCTCTAACCAATGGCTGAAATTTAAACTTAAAACTCCTCACAAACCTTCCCTGCCCTGTTTGGAACCAGGTTTGATGAGCCAGAGATGGCATGTAGATTGAGCGGCCCTTCAAATTTTGTTTTTCTGTAAACTTGTCTGAAAAACATCACTTCTTGGAAAACAACACGTGCATAAATTTTAATTAATTTAAAAACCAATTCAAAGACCAATTTCATCTTGCTTTCAAAAATGTTGGAGTTACTTCTCTCTAGTTCTTATTGTGAACTTTGTCTGTGTGAGAAACAGAGATAATCAGATTCAAGATCTCAGCTGTGTTTTAGCCATCATTTAATTTCTGGTGGCCTCTGTGCAACCTTAGTGTCTGGAACTTCTCCTGAGATGGGTTTTTAATGCTTTCCAGCAGTTGTGTTTTCTAAATATGTTTTCACAATCTTTGTTACTTTGCTTTCACAATCCTTATTGCTTTTTAAAAGTGGCTTCACTGTATCAAATGAGTGCTATTAAATGTAATTAAAGTGATTTTAAGTCATAATTTTTGGAAAACTTTTTAAAATGGCCAAATAATCCCGTGGCAGAACCTGTCCTCACAGAAGACAGGATCCTAACAATGGCCCATTTCTAACATCATGCTTTGATTTTATCATGGATTATATTCAAATGATGATGAAGGAGATTTAAATGGGGAGGAAAAAAATCTCTCACCTTTCTTGATTTCATGCTAATTTTCACAACAGTGGTGGGTTACTCCTATTTGCATTTCATGGTGTTATTTTTGGAATGTGTCTTGTCTAGTCTTGGCAGACAGACACCGAGCCAAGGAGTAAAATAGGAAAATTTAACAGTGAGGGAGTTATTATCCAAATGGAACCTTCTGTTAGAGGTGTCAACAGACAAAGGTGAATGTAGAGAATGAATGGAATAAGATGAGAGAAAGATCAAATAATGGGATAAGAAGTTCAAGCGTGGGATAATGGGTGTGATTAGAGATTATTAACAATGCAAAGATTTGCAAAATGTGTTAAAAAATTCTTGTCTGTTCATTAACACTTGATGAGTGGACCACATAATAAAACAATTTTTTAAAAAAAATCATATTGAGTCTTAGAGTGTTTGTTCCAAGGTGTTATTTTCTTCTGACTATTTCTCTGTTGGTTTTTAGGTTTCTGTCTTCCACCTTGTACATAAGTGGGATCTCTGTGCTGGAACAAGATAATGTCTTCAACTCATTGAAGGAAAGGGGTGAGCAGCTTTCTCATGGCCAATATTTTATCTTCTTTAGAAAACAGCATGCCCTGGAAATAAACATCATCCTGTATTGTGTTGAAAAGGAAGCCAGTTCTTGTTGCTTTTCATGTGTCAAAGAGAATTGATTTTTGTTTCTTTTTAACTTGCTGTGTGAATGTAAGCATCTAATGTTACATAACAAGTGCCAGGTCTAAAGTTAAATAAGAATGAACAAAGAGCCATGCTGAATCTGCCAGTCATGCATTTCTCTCTGAAGGACTTCAAAGAAGCATGTATGAAGGAAAATGAGAAGGAATGATTACTTGTTAACAAGTCTGTTGGGTAGTTCCCTCACAACCCTAAGAGGGCTGGTGGTTCGGTCGTAGCCTGTAGCGTAACTATTTATATCTCTTCCAAACATCTGTTGTAGCTTGTATATGTTAGAAATGATACCACTGATCTCCAGCAGCTCCCTTGTACCTTCTGTTAACGTTACTGGGTGGTCCCTGTGCCCTTAATTATGAGGGAGTAAGTGGAACAAGCCAGGAGTGGAGTGATGAATGTCAAGTGATCACTTTGTGTGTGTGTTTCAGCTCACATTTAATCTCTTCACTTCCATACTCAACTTGCACAAGCTCTCCACATTTTTAATTATGATTACCCCTCTTCATTTAGCTTCCTTTCTGCTTTACATTTTCCTTCATACCTCATTTTATAAAAGGCTTATCTTTTTTTTCCCCCTTTGCTTTGTAGACCATGCTCTTTTATGAATTCCCGTTCACCACAGGTATCAGTAGAGTTTCTGATTGCAGGTCATGCATCAGCTTCCAGTTACATGACCTTAGGTTTTCTACACATTTTACTTTCAAAATAAATAGAATGAGAGTTAGTTCTGTTCTGTTTGAAGCTGACCAGCAGACTCACCCTCAGGTTATTTTTGTTATTTGTAAGTCTTTGAATATAAAATTAAAACACACATTTTCCCCTATGCTCTCGATTTATCTCATAAAGAATAATTGGTATTTTGAAAGCTAAGAGGTTCAGAAGTAATTTATTCTTGGGTTCACCTCGGATGCCCAAACACTCTGTGTGCTGGGGCAGAGTCGGTAGGTTGGAGGTGGTCTGGGAGCTGAGGATGGACACACAGAGCCGGTCAGCCAAGAGCAGGGCTCATTGGAGAGCACCACAACAGCTTCAGACCACGTCAGCTGCTTTCCATCACAGCCACCTTCAGCAGGGAGGGGCTGAACCAGCCTGTGACTGGGTGTAAAAAGCATCAGAAACCATCCATGTGTTGTGTGAGCTCGGTGGAGGAGCTGTGTTGGTAATTAGCTGTGGCATGATAAACATCTGGGAGCGATAGCAGCCTGAGCATCTGCTGGGGCTGGGCCTGCTAACGAGCCTGCTGCTGCTTCCCAAATGAGGCCTGGAAAGCCAAATCTGTAAATACCTTCTCAGTTACTTTCCTTAAAGTTTAACTCACTTTGTTTCTTGTCTCTACTGAGTAATGAGGAAATGTTTCTTTTTAGTGAACAGAAGTAATTCCTCAGTTAATTGCCTCGATTTAAGGGTGTGATTAGCTCAATTTGTTCTTCTTGATTTGCAGTGGTTGTCTTCACTAAATCTCATCAGTTCCTATCTTGCCTAATAGCTTAATCTTTTTCTACTGTAATTATAAGTCAGAGGGGAAGCTCTTGTGGGAAATAAAGGAAATACCCATGTAGAATTCTTTCCAGTCATTCCCCTGGGAGAAAATATGGCGAAAGTCCTTCTAGATGCAATAATCTATGGATCTAGCTCAAAGCTGTGCACCTCCTCTCTTCTTTTGTGTGGCCTGAGGGCCTTCCAGATGTGGAACGTCTCTTCATTATGGAAATCTGGAAGGAGGGGTTAGTCCTGCTTGTCTTGTTCTCCAAAAATTCTCGCCATGTCCTACTGTCTTTACCAATTTACATGTATTATCTTTGTGGCCTCCCTCTCCAGGTTTTTCTTCATGCCACAAATATGATCTTACATCCCTGTGAACTCTTAAGACTTTCTTCCTCTTCTACAACTTGTACTTTTATTTTTTCATTTTTGCCTAAGAATTTCATCTTTCTTCCACAGTTAAACATTTTCTTTAGCAGTGTTTTCTCTGCTTTTCTTAGCTTTAAAATAATCATTAAATAGTGTTTGCTCTTTCTTTGTTGATCATTTCAACTGTTCTCCTTTTATTTTGAGGGTAGTCTGGTCCATGCTTTGGATGTCACAGTCATAAATTAAATGTCTGTCTTTTGAGAAGGAAGAAAAGCAGCATTTTCTATGTGTCTGTTCACTCTGTCAATAGAGACAGGCACTTGCATTGGCTGTCAGCTGCCATTTATGAAAGAAAATAAATGTTTAAACATCAGACAAATGCTTACAGGGCTGATGCTTCAGAATGTGTTTCCTTAAAGGATTTTGAGAGGTCTCTCACTTATAGTGGCAAATGCTGATTTAGCTTTTAACACTAAATGATTTGTAACTGTAAAAAAAAAATTTAAAATATGAAGTACTTCTATCAATGAGTGCACTTTGGTTGTTGCATTTGTAGTTTTAATTTTGGTGGAGAAATCAGTAATGTATTTGGAGTTTCAAAGAAAGAATACTGATATTCTGTAAAAACAGATATAACCTAGTTTTTAGAGGAAACCAAGCTTACATCATCTTGGTGAACTTCTCTGGTCTTTGAAGCAGTTTAAAAAAGATTTTTAAAATTGCACTCATACTTAGGAATTACACTGAGTGAATTTGATGCAAAGTGAGGCTTGAGGTTTCTCCTGAGGAGTTTGGTTTGTCTCTGTGCCTGAAACTGTTGTCAAAGAAGGGAACCTTGAAGTTTGTTCTGTGTTTGCAAGATGAAACACTCGCTTGAGACTGTTATAATCTGCAGGGGAAAATATCCAGAAATGTAAAAATTGCTCTTAAAAATGGTCATATGCAGTAGTAGTATGCAATAAGGGAAGGACTTAAAATAGTTGAAAAATTTGTAGTGATTGAACACATTGAAAAAAATATTCTATTTCAGATCTTAAGGTGGTGAAAATTTTAAAACTTAGTTCTTCAATACTGACATAAGTGACAAAGAGCAGAAAGCCTGGAATTATTACCTGCATATAATGTTTTTCAAGACATGAGCTCTGACTTCTTTTTTAATATGGATTTTTTAATAGTAGCTAAACATTAGAACTCCTGTGTGTCAAGGAAAATTGACTTCCGTGTTAATAGTTACTGGTAATAGCTTAATGAGTTACGTGATTTCAGTTGTAATGGCTGCACATCTGACAAGGAAATGAAATGTGAAGTAATAATTTGTTGGCTACACTCTGTCTGGTGGTGGTGCTTTGCTAATTTATTTTTTTTTAATTATGGTATATCTTAATTTAAAAATGTTTAACTCATCTGGGCACCAAACTCCAGCTAATGCTTAGAGAGAATAATTTGATGCATTTGCTTATGTTTAAATCCTATTGTAATTAATATTTCCCATAGTATCAAATGTCTCTGAAATTGAGACTTCTGAATTCCTAGATTCCTTTTGAAACTTTATAATCACGTGGGCCCAATTGTTTAAAAATTGTTTGATATTGTTCCATTCTTTGTTGAACCTTAAATGACTTGGATGGCAAATTCCTGAAGTGTCAGAAGTGATTTGAAGCTTGGTCTCTGAAAGTGGTTTCATCCCTACTTTAGGATCTGGGATTCACACCCAAAAGTGAACAGGGTATTTCTCATTTTGCATTTGGTCCATAATTTTTAACTTATTAAATTAATATTAACTATTAAATATTAATTAAATAACATTAAATAAATATTAAATTGTTATTATTTCAGTTACAGTGATGCTCAGTGGGTTAGAAGCCTTTTAAAAACACAAACACAAACCTGCCCATTTCTAGATTTCATTAGAAATCTAGGTAGTATTAGTTCTATTAGCATTAGAATTCTAGTGTAGTATGACCTTAGAATGTCAGTTAAGTAGTGCAGAAATTAATGCTAAAATTCACTTGAGCTTGTGAGTATAAAAAGCCTCGGCCTCTTACTAGAAGTTTTACTTTAAAATATAAAGAGACAATTAAGTTTTTTGCTTATAAAACCTGTTATATTTCCAAACTGAATTTGTTGTTTGAATAAACAATAAATTTGTTTGAAAAAACAATAAATTTGTTGTTGTCAATAAACTCTCTGAGAGGTGTGCATCCATCTGAATTTCTACCTTTGTTTTTCCTTCACCTTCTTCTTAATTTTTTCTTCTTGGATTCTGAGTGGCCACTTTTTAAAGTGACTGTTTGTTTTTCTTTAAAAGACTACTTGTTCGCACTTATGATGATTTGACACAATTAATGTCTCAATAACCATGATGGCAACACAGACATTAAGTATAGACAACTATCAAGATGGACAACAGGTAGGTGTGTTTTCATTTCTCTAGGAACTAAATATACTTAGGAAGAGGGGAAAAAATTAGTGATTTTCCTTAGTGCCTGCTTTGGCATTGTTTAAGCTGGAATAATGAAACATAGTCATGTATATCTGGTCTTGTTTCTTTTTTGTACAACAGGCTGTGTAATTTTACACTTTAAATTGCTAAATTAAAATGCTGGTAACTGGAGGCAGTTTGTGGGGTGGCCTCTGTTCTGAAGATCAATTTTTCTGTTACTCTATGTCAGCTCTAAGCAATAACTGCAAGTACTTCTGTCAGCAGATGGCAACAATGGGGAACAGTCAGAAAAAACCAGCAACTTTCCACATCTCCTATAAAATGTTCATCTGAATGCAGTCAGGTTTTTGATTTTTAGTTTTATTGTTTGTTTCTTTTATTGCAATTCTAATTTCTCTCTCTCCCCTCACCTACTTTACATATTTGACTTTATTCCCCCTGCAAATACCATCCTGTGGCAGTGAAAGTAAAATATGTTTTTTTCTAAAGAACGGATTGGGAGAGAGCTTTTTCTTCCTATTTGTTGTGTGTTTCAAGTGTTCAGTGTCCAAGATAGACAGGGAATTTGGGTGCCTGCTGTGTTTCTAGTTTGGAAATGCCCCACAGGATAAAAAACTTTCAGTTTTAAGTGAGCTGTTTCCTCCTCCTAGGGCAATAGAACTCTCACTGAACTCTCTCCCTCCCTTCAAACTCTGCAGATTTATGGCCAACATTTATAATCACTTGTCTGACTCATCCCCTTCTAATTTGCTCCTCCTTCCTGTCATTAGCCAAGAAATTGGTGCATTAGTTACTTTTTTCTTAAGCATTCTGGTTTGAAAATCGTCTCTGCTTGCTGAGGGAGCTCTCTGCAAGGCAAGCTTCTCTCTTGGGTGGGAGATGCTGAATTTTCTCAGTTTCTGATTTTTCTAGGAGATAGCTTGGCCCCATTAGGTAATAAATCACAAACCTTTTGGTTCTCCCAGATAGTTAAAAATACTATTTTTTTTCTGCTGCTTTTATGTGGAAATAAATTAATTTCTGTTAAAGTCAGGATCTCTCACAGTTTCTGGAGCTGTCAGTTGTGGCTGCCTGGAGCTCCCTAGAACAGTGTCTGTCCTCTACCTGAGATAAAAGAGAATTAAGAGAAAAGATTGCAGTGGTTTTATGTCTTTGTGCAGAGGCTCAAATGGGAGAAAACCAAAGAGTTTGGGCTGAGGGGTGGAAACTTTCACAGTTCAGGTTCCTGGAAGACCTTTTAGTCCAAAAAATATTTAGCTGGAGGTGATGGAAAAAACACTTGGAACACCTTCAAAGCACCCCAAAGGTGTGCCCAGCCTCCTAATGCAATTTAGGAGGTGCTCAGGTGAAGCTCTGTGGTGCTTTTCCATGGTATAGATGTGGGTTAAATGGATGTGTAGGAGGAGTTACTGCTGTTCTCCTAAAATATTTGGTTCTTGTAATATGTAAAATGGAGTGCTAAAGGTGATGGGAGGTTATGCTCCTACAATTGAAGGACTGGAGGGACACAGAATATTTTAAATGTGCATTTTAATGGACAGAAAAACCTAGAAGATCCTTTTCTTCAGTACCCTTATACAATGCACAGTAAAAAATAAAAAAAAAATAAATCTTAAGAGCATAAACTTTTCTTTACATTGATTTCATCCTGAAGGATTTTTATGCAGACATTCCCATGAACTTTTTGGAGCAGTGTACTCTATGCTATTCCAAAAACAGCCACTTCAGAGACAAAATGCTTCAACAATTTACTAATATCTATCATTCCCATTTTAAAGCCAAATGCTAAAACTTGGAAATGACCTTTATCCATCAAAAAGTGTCAGGGATTAAAAGAGGGGTTTTGTTGCTGCTACAACTTCTTGTGTCACTGCCAAGTCACACCAACCTTCTGGCAATCTAGGAGCCCTTTGCACTGCTCTTTCCTTAGAACACAGCACCCTTATTTTACGTCAGGGCTACAAATTTACTTCTTTTTTTTTTTTTTTCCTACAGATGCAAGTGGTAACAGAGTTAAAAACTGAACAAGATCCCAACTGCTCTGAAACTGATGCTGAAGGGGTGAGTCCTGCCCCTGTAGAATCTCAGACTCCAATGGATGCAGACAAGCAGGCCATTTACAGGTAGTGATGGACTCCTGTTCTGTCTTTTGAAGGGTGAAGGATAGGGTAGAGGATTTGGGGGTTTTTAATAAATAAATAACAAGTAGCTAAAATCAGGTGATTTCTTGGCTGTCTCCATCGTTTGTAGGGAAAGAGTGAGACCAAATAGGCTCCACTGGCATCATCAGCCAAGGAGAAACCTCCTGAGCCTGTGGGATTTTTAATTTCAGCAGTTTTAAAGGGTATTCTAAGAGTGGTTGCCAAATTTAGAAAGCTGTTTTAGCCTTTAAACTGTGGTCACTATTTGTCATATTGTTTTTATCTTTAATACGAGCTTTTACTTTTATTGTAATTAGGTCAATCTTTACTCCTTTTTCTTTAGGGATAATAATCTATTCCCTAGTAATTAGCTGAAAATGGATTAAATATTGATGTATGAGCACACTAATTTGAGATTTTTCAGTGCAAAGTGCTGTGCTAAGCAATATGCTCAGTTTTCATGGGGTTGAGTGTTCTTTGAGCTTAACTACTTTATAAAGACAGAATTATTACTGGTTTTCCAGTTAAAAAAAAAAAAACAACCACCAAAACAGGAAAAAGCCAAACAAAACACCAAAAAAACCTCAACCTGAGGCAGAAAGATGTATCCATTCATTTACAGACTTGTGCTAACAAAATCTTCTCCTCAGAGCATGATTTCACAGGAGGCCTCTGAGCACAGCCTGAATATTCTTCTCAATTTTTTAAAGTTATTTCATGATGTGTAAGTATGGCCCACATTGAAGAATAAATTAATTTTATCAGGCTTCATTTAAATCTGCACTCATCCTCTTTGTAAATCCTAAATCTCATTTCTAGTGCACTGTATTAATCTGTCTCAGTGCCACTCAATTACAGTGAATTAAACAGTCAGAGCTTTTTTGCTTGTGATTGTTCTCTTTAATTAAACATATACATATTTTTTGCTGTATTTGCCTCTGGAGTGGGGTAAATCAAAATGAAAATAAATTTTTATCTTATTTTGCTCTAGCCAATGCTGTTATATGCAGTCTGTTCCAGAACTTGTCACATTCACATGAGTGACTGTGAGCTTTTCTGAGTTAGATGTCTTAATTTTCACATAAGTGAAAATACTTATTCATGTATTTAAGCATTTTTTTTTCTAGGCACCCACTATTTCCCTTGTTAGCACTATTATTTGAAAAATGTGAACAATCTACACAAGGCTCAGAAGGCACAACTTCTGCCAGTTTTGATGTAGATATTGAAAACTTTGTGAGGAAGCAGGAGAAGGAAGGAAAACCCTTTTTCTGTGAAGATCCAGAAACTGATACTTTGGTAAGTATTGGCTGTTTCTTTCATTTCTGAAACAACCATCACATTTGCAGCTTCTTCCTCATTTCTGATCTCAACTGGTCCTTGTAGTTTCTCCTCACATTTTTCTGCCTGTGAGAGATTCTTCTTTACGTTAATGATTAAAAATATTTTTAAAATTTTCTTCTGACCCCCTTTTCCCTTTTATCTGTAAATTTACTTTGGGCTCTTCACAGTTGTTTCCTGTTCTCAGCTGACATGAATGTAGACAAACAGAAATTGGAGACAAACAGAAATCTCCAAACATGAATTGGAGACAAACAGAAACAAATCCTTTCCATAGCCAGACTGACTCTGCAAATTAATTTTAGAGTGTTGGGTGTTTAACATATTTATCAAAAACACGTAATTGAGGTAATTTTTCTCCAATTTTATTTAAATCATGCTTCACCTAGTTGATGTGAGGGAAGAGCTGTTAAAAGATGATCTTAGAAAGTCTTTACCCTATATAATTTTTTCTTTCATGTCATTAATTCCTTTAAGCTTTCTGACAGTCATTCATGTGATGAAGCTGTGATTTCTCTGTTTTGAATATACCTGCCTTCAATATTTTACTCAAAAATGAGAGTTAGTTCTGTTCTGCATGAAGCAAGTCTGCTGACTTCTTAAGCCTCAGGTTATTTTCTTCATTTGTAACTCTCAGAATCCAACACAAAATCACGGTTTTCCCATATTTCTCTAATCCATATTTCTCTAATTTCAGAAGCACATCTGAGGTCTGATAGCTGGAATGTGGTAGCTGTGGCTCAGTGGATGAGGAAAGAACAGTGCTGGTGGTTTATCTTGACTTTTGAGGTCTCTTGCAGTGTTCTCATAGACCAACTGACAAGACAGGGATGAGATAAATGAGCAGGGAGGTGAACTGAAAAATGGGTGAACCCCTGGGTTCTGGTCAGCAGCAGGAAATCCAGTTGAGGGCTCCCATAAGTGCTGTTCTCCAGGGACTGATTGTGGAACCAGAGCTGTTGAACATTTCCATTTCTGACTGGGGTGATGGGGCAGGCTGAGCCCTCAGCTGGGCTGCAGGTGCTGCAAAGCTGGGAGATGGGGCTGATGCACACATGGCTCTGCCACCATTCAGGGATGCTTCATTGCTTTTGGAGAAGCAGGAAAATGGGAACCTCATGGAATTCAGCAAAGGGAAATGCCAAGTCCTAATAGGAGAAAAAGACAGACTGACTCATCGGGGCAAGGGGAAATGGGAATGAACTTACCCAGGAATGGATATGAAACACAGGAGGTTCCATTAAACCTTTTTTACTGTGAGGGTGTTTGAATCCTGCCCTATAGATCCTGTCTGCCCCATAGATCCTGAAATCCTGCCTCATAGATTCCTTCTGCCCATCTGTGGGGCAGAAGGAATCCCAGAGAGTTGTGGAGTCTCCATCCTTGGAGATGTTCAAACTCAGCTGGACATGACCTGAGGAACCTGCCCTTCCTGACCTTGCTTTGAGCAGGGGGGTTGGATTAAACCATCTCCAGAGGTCCCTTCCAACCTCAGCTGCTGGTCCCTTTCCAGCCAATTCCAATTCTGTGGCTTCTGTGAGCCTCCAAAGATTGGTTTCCCAAAGATCCTGTTTGCCTTGGCCTGTTCCCTGTGCTTTTGGTCCTATATAAACACTCTCAGATCCAGCTTGCTTTGGTTGTAGCTGGGTCTGGTGTGTTCAAAAAGTCCTTCCTGTCACTGAGCTGTTTATGGTTTCAGTTTGTGGCTCTAGTGACCAAGTCTCTTGGATTATGTGGTGTTCTCCTTTGCTGATGGGCTGCACAAACCTGGCTGGTTTTGCTTGAAGTGGGTGAGGAATTGTTTATGTCCAGGATTCCATGGCTGCTGAGGTCAGTAGTGGCTTAAACTGGAACCACATTGCAAGATCCAAAATCCTTGGCATTGAGCTCCTGTCCTGTGGTCGTGTTGTGAGCTGTGACTTTCTGTTACTGGACACCAAATGAAACCTGAGTGCAGCTTGTCCTCTGCCTGTCCTGGAGGCTGGGAGCTCTGAACAGCTGACATTCTGACAGGCTCTCATTTGGTGTGGGGCTGTGAGCACAAACTTCTCTGAAGTTGTGAACTGGCTAGCATGGATTTCAGTCTCTTTTCAGCTTGAAATATTGGTGCTTGCCACAGGGAAGGCTGGAGACAGGCAGTTTTTCTGCCTCCTCACATATATATTTTTATAGAGATTAAAAAGTCCCTGTTTAGTAGCAAGAAACACTATTGTGCACCTTTGTTCCATCTTATGCTCATGCTGTCCTTCCCTTTTTAACTCCAATGTTAATTCATCCATTCATCTGAAAGGAGAAGCTGCTAAAACTGATAATTAGACTGGGCTAGAAGGGTGGAGCAGAGTCAAACAAATAAGGTGTAAATGTTTGCTCAGTAGGATCAACTCAGGGCCAGAGCTAAACTGACATGAACTGAGCATCACAACACTGAAGAACCAAATTCAAGTCCTATCTGAGACTCACAGGCCTGTTACACTAAGGAAATTGGTCAGCTGTTTCATTTCTTTTTCCTTTTACCCCTTTGAGATGTGGCATGTATAACTCAGCCAAACTGTAGTTTCTGTGACAGAGCTTCAACTGTGGCAGCTCCAAAGCAGCAGAATATAATTCTTCATGAATTCTCCAGAATATAATAATGTTCCATGCTGCCTGTGGGCTAATTAAGTAGATAACAGAAATTAGGAAGGGTCACAGATAGTGATTGTAGGGTCACTTACAGTCCTGGCAATGTTCCACGTTGTGCACTCATTTGAAGTGCCTTGAATACTCCACAAGAGGAGTTTGGAGTTCATCCAGAGGACCACAGAATGTTAATCTGGGTGGCACAGGCATTAGATCAGTTTGACCAGAAAGGAAGTTCATTAAGAGCAGTGGATGCTTGTTCCAATTTGAGCAGCTCTTACTAAGCCATGGTCTAGATTATCTTGTTACTTTGGTATTATAATTCCCATTCTAAATTAATTGGTGGCTTCCTGCTTTAGTATTAAAAAGGATTTCAGCATCCACCTGAAACTTAGTTTTGAGGATACTCATAAATTGCTAAATTGCCTGTAAACCAGCTTTCAAACCCTTGTTACTATCCAGCTGGAGGGATTCTGTTCTGGAGGTTCTGTTCTCCCCATTTAAGCTCTCCAACAACATCAGTTGGTGTTTCTGAATCAGCAGGGCAAAGGATCATAGTCAATCCAGGAGAATTGTTACCAGGCCTTTTTTGGAGAATGGTTACCAGGCCTTTTTAGGAAATTGTTACCAGGTTTTTTTTACTTCTGCAGGGTCTCTCCCAGGTCTGGGTGCAATCCTGGGCCATGTGCTCTGGGATGACCCTGTGGTTCATCCTGCAGATCTCCTGTTTTCAAATCCCTTGGGAAGGAAGTGGAAGCTGAAGGTTGTGCTTGTGTTCTTACTAGTCTCGAAATGTGTTTTCCTAGAGCTTCAACTTCCTCCATATCTTCTTGGAATGTCATTTGCATCCCCTTAGTGCTTTTTCTAAGCACCAGTGTCAGAAGATGTGTGTTTGCTGTCAGTAACCAGATTTTGGTGCTCTCTGTTGCTGCTTTCTGGAAGTGAGCTCAGCTTACCCACATAACTTGGAGTATCACCTTTTCCCCTTACCCTTTGCTATCCCTGCCTCATTTTTACAGAGAAAACAGATCCTGTAATGAGCCAACTGCTCTTTGTTCTCTGTCAGTCTCATTTTGTGCATAGGACATCCACAAATTTAAGAATTTGTTCAGCATGGGTGCTTGCAGAGAGTTTTTTTAGACCTTTCACAGATTATTTTATGTTTGAAGACATTCATTGCTTAACACATTTTTGTTGCTCACTGCTAACTCAGACTCTGCAGAAATACCACATTGCCTCAGGGTGGTTCCTGCCTCTCTGTTCAGAGTGAACTCTTCCCACACATGGGTGGATTTTTTAATTTCTCCACACTGCTAGGACTGTAGGATGGTTTGGGCTGCCCTAAAAGCTCAGGGGGTTTCTAGTCCAACCTCCTGCACAGAGTAGGGTCAGCTGTGAAGCCAGAGCAGGTTACTTATGGCTTTGTCAAGTCTAGACACAATCCAAAACAAGGGCTGTTAAATCTCCTCTCCCTTTTGTATTTGAACAGGACACTGCCTTTTTTGAAGACCCCTGAGTTTTTTGTTTCGTTTGGGGTAAGGATTTTTGGTTCAGTACCCTCTTCTCAATTCTCTTGAATTCTTAGTTGTGCCTGGAACCTGAGTTGTAGAGGTGAAGCCAGCTGGTGTCATTTGAATATTGACTGACCAAGCCTTTCTGAAAGGTTTTTGCTGTTTTAATGTGCAGAACTGTCCCATAAACCTCTAGTTACACCTTTTCTAGCTATGTCTCATAGCTGAGGACTCAAAACAGAGGTTATCAAATCAAAACAAATGAAAGCAAAATAGCTTTTCTCCCAGAGTGTGCGTTCTTCTACTGAAAATCTGAATTGCTGCAGGAGGATTTGGGTCAGGGAGGTAGGTAAACTGTGGATGTATATATTTTAATTGGTTTTTTTTGCAAATGAAGAGTAATTTGAGTGAGATTATGTGTCAGTGTATGGAGATTCATTCATGTGTGTTGCCCACATGTGCAGTTGATGTGCTCTGAAATCCATGAAGAACTGTGGCTCTGTTTTACATCAGCAAGGTGAGCTGGGGATCACAGCTGAGGCAGTTTGTGATGTGTCTGTGCCTTTGCACCATGGGCTTGAGGCACTGCAGGCAGGACACAGGCACAACCTAGAGCATATTTAGGCTAAAGATAGCCTAAATTTCTTAAATTTGGAGACATATTTTTTATATAAATAGGCTCTGGATAGCAAAAACTGGAAGTTTTTCAATAACTTTCTTTCTCTAATAGTTTACCATTATCTTTATTTACAGCAATTTCAGCCATAGTAGAAGATATCCCTGCTCATGGCAAGAGTTGTTAACAGGATGATCTTTAAGGTCCCTTCCAACCCAAACCATTCTAGGATTATGTGAATATACACAAACCTCATGGTTACTTCATCTTCGTGCATTTCCCAGAAGTGATACTTCAGTTTTATTGCTACAGCTGAAAAGACTGAATCAGTTATAAAATGTCTTTTTTCTGTGGCATATTCTATGCAGTAGCACTGAATGAAATATTACTGCTGCTGTGACCTGTCTGAAAATACTTCTTTGTATTACCTTTGTCCAACCTGAGTTATTTTATCAGGAGTTCTTGATTTTTGTAGCTTTAAGGGAAAAGTGAACTTCTGCTGACATTAAGTTTGGTCCACCTGTGCTGCAAGAGAGCAGGAGCCATATGGCCACAATTAATGTGGCTGTAAATGAATTAATAAGTCCTGGTGACAGGCATGGCATATTTACAAAGTTTTGTTTTCCTCCTACCACAGCAGCACAGCTTCCTGCAGGAGCAGTGTGATGGAGAGGGGCCCTGCAGAAACCTGAGCAGTGTTACTGACTCTGGGTTTGTGGGTAATTCTGACTTTAATTCAATTTTCACCTCAAGTATCAACCATCAATTTTCAACTAAGTCTAAGCTGAAGAAAGGACTTTCATTTTTCCTCCAAGCACATGCTGATAAATAAACAGTACAAATTTGGCTAATGTTTAAAAAAACACAACTCTCTTGACTGAGCAAAAATAAACTAAACTCTATTATGGTCAAATATTATGTGTCCAAAAACATATTTTGTTACCTCAGTTTTAGCTGAATCTTTAAAGCACTAACTAATATGATGAGCAATTTGTTGATCAGTTACACATGAAGAATTTTCTATTTTAAGCTTTTTGTTTCTGAAATAGAGACAGAATTTCTTGAAGCACAGATGACCTTTGTTTTGTGTTAAAATTTAGTCACATTTGCATGCTTTAACTTTGTTGTGTTTAAAGGTGCTTAAGCACAGTTTAAAAAGCAACCTGGGCTGGGTTAGAAAGTCACTGATTTGTGTCCCAGTGCTGGGTCACTGCACTCAGTGTTTCAAAGGCTTTCAGTGTCGTAGGTCACAAGAGTTACCAGATATTAATTTGGGTCAAATCTACAGCTCAGGTGTTTCTGCAGCTGTTTTTTGAAAGATTTATTTTTTCTTTTTATCCCTGAGAAAAATTTTTAAAAAAATAATTTAATTTCTTAATTTTTTCATCTTGTTTATTTTAACACAAAGTTGTCTACACTGAGTGAGTGTCCTGGAACCTTTTGCTGAAATAAACAGGGAAAATATCTGTCTCAATGAAAGCTAAAATGTCATGATGGAGAGGGGAGCACACTCAAAAGTTTTCCTACCTTGATCTCCTTTGGGTGCCTTGAGCAAAGAATCTTCAGCTCACAGTTGGCTTCTTGAGTTGGAAGTAATAGATTTAAAATAGATTTAATAGATAGATAAAAGTTTGGAGGATCTGATTTCTGTTCACTGGATCAGTGCTCTGCCCAGCTAAATAACCCTGTTATTTATTGGTGGACCCCAGTTATTTATTATATGGTGGACAGATTTTTCCAAATAATTGTAAAGTCAAGCTCTGCACAATGCTTTAAAATTGCAACTGTTCCTTTTCATGAATCTGAAGGATATTTCTCTCAGAGATCCAGCACAGCACAGAAATGTTGGGGGTGGCATGTTGTATAAAAAATAATTACTTTGCTGGTGTGTTGTGTACATATTTGAATGTCCTGGATTTCCTGCTGCTGTTGGACCATCTGGATTTGGTTTTAGCTTCTGATCTTCTGCCATGACCCTTACAATCACCTAAGCTATTTTTGTGCAGTATGTAATACCATTGGTTATCCAGGCTTACAGTGCTTTTCTCACAGTGAGCACGACAAGTATTCTCCTCACATCCATATCTCCTGTACTTGCATTTTAGCTTAAACATGGATTATTTTCTTTAATTTGGTTTAGTGCTTTATATTTAATGTTTTGTATTTCAGAATCAGTTTCCTCACCTGAAAGTTCTTACAAGATTTTACCTGAGAGTTATTCATCTTTGTCATACAATCACAGAGGAACCTAAAAGCTGTAGCACTGAAGAACTCTTTGATTACTTTAAGCTTTGTTGGCTAAATTTGGGACCTCTTTATTCTAATTTTATTGAAAAATAAAGGCTTTTATCCTCCCTAGCAATCTGTGGAACAAATTTATGCTTAATCACAGGAGTGCCTTCTTCCTCACTGTATCTCCAGCCCTTCTGGTTTCCTTGTGTCAGGGTGAAGCTGAACGTGATGTTTCTGATTTATGGAGCTCCAGAGAGAACTGCTGCTGGCCAAGCCTGTCCAGCCCTGCCTTCCAAACCATTCCTGGGGATGGGATTGCTTTCCATCACTTGCACTCCTGTGTGGTCTGTGCCCCAGAGGTGTAGGAGGGGGTTAAAGACCACATGGACGTCCAGGCTCATCCTGTGCCCTGGGACACCTCAGCTGCTCTGGCTTCCTGAAGTGTCACACATGACAAAGATCACTTTGCTATCCTGTTCTCTTTCCCCTGTGTGGCAGTTTCCTTGTGTTCTTTCACATTCCAAGATTTAGCAATTAGAACCTCTGCTTTAATTGGGTGATCTTTGTTACTGGCAAGCATTGTTTGCTTAAATCTCACTTGTTTGTTTTTTTTTTAACAAATACTTATTTTGTTTCTGATTTTTTTTTCCCAATTCTCTCCCTCAGATGGTAAAAGCAATCCAAGTTCTGCGTATCCATCTGCTGGAGCTGGAAAAGGTCAATGAACTCTGCAAGGATTTCTGCAGTCGTTACATTGCCTGCCTGAAGACAAAAATGAATAGTGAAACTCTATTAAGTGGAGAGCCTGGAAGTCCTTACTCACCTGTGCAATCTCAGGTGTGTTTCCAATGCTGTTCAGTGGATTTTTGCTTAGATTTCCTTAGGAAGTTACAGCTATGCTTCTTTTGCTATCAGTTTGCAAACAGTTTCTGCAGTTTCCTGTATTCTCTCAAATCAGGTATTAAGAGTAGAAAGAGATTTTTGTTTGTTTTGTTTTTGTTTTTGTTTGGTTTTTTGTTGGCTTTTTGTTTGCTATGGTTTGTTTTGGTTTTGGGGTGTTTTTTTTCATTTGGAGGGAGGATGTGGTTTATTTTGTGCTACTGCCCGATGGACAAATTTGTTGAAATGTGCCACAGCACAGAGTAAATTTTTTATTGTCAGTCTTCCTTTTATGATTTTCTCTCAGTTCAGGAAATGGAGATATTCAGAATAGCCTGGATTTGCTATTTGGTTGGAAGGAGGTTAGGAAACAGAATAAACAAGGAAGAAAATTTTGCCTGTTAAGGCCTCCTTAGTCTGCCTCCTTCATTAAAACATTGAGATGACTGATGCATTATACACAACCTGTATTCTGGAATAAATAGACAATATCTGATGGATTAAAGTTGCAAAATTGCATTTTTTGTATTAAATGGATCACAATTAATAGGTTATGGTTGATGTTTTTGCTGTCAGATGCTGCAGAGTGAGTCCTGCCACCCCAGTACCCTCCTGTGAATTACTCATGTATCTGATGCTCTGCATTAAAAAAAAGCCTCAATGACTTTTAAACTTCACTTTCTGGACTCCTTTTATAGGTTTTGATGTCTGGAAGTGTGGAAAGGAGATTCTAAAATCAGGCAAAAAAAAGCTTTTAAAATGTTTTTTTCTGTATATCTCTTACAGTTTTCTGTAGAGACATGAGGGACCCATTTTGCATTTGCTATCAAAAGAGATTATTCATACATACTAAGGAAATGTGTAAGAGTTTGCATGTCCAAGATTGAGTAAGGGCTGTCTTGAGCAGAATAAAACATATTGAGTATTTAATACATTATGTTCAAATTGAAGGAATTGAGGTAATAACTAAAATTCTAAAGCTTTGATGCTTGTAATAAGAGCATCAAGGGTCATTACATTTGTCCTTTTTCCCTCTTGCCTTTGGAAACTGTTTCTTATTCTTTACATACCTAGAACTAAAATTTCTCAAAATTGTTTTACATCTTTTCTAGCAGTTGCTTTCATGAGGGTTTTCAAAGGTAATGAGGAAGTTAATGTAGGTAATGATGAACCCCTAATGGAGTATTTTTCTCTTTGAAGGTAATCCTGTGATTAAACTCCAAACATATTTTAGAGCAAAAAATACCTAAAACAACTTACAAAAATACACAAGCATGCTTGATCTCCTTACATGAAAATAAAAATTTTTAAAAAATGTAAGCAACTAATTATTTTATTTTTCTAGCAAATTCCAAGTGCCATTGCAGGCACACTCAGTCCCCAAGGGATCGTGGTGCCAGCATCAGCATTGCAGCAGGGAAATGTAACTATGGCAACAGTAGCAGGTATGACACACTAAAAACAACTGGCACCTTGCTCTTCATCTTGGTTTCCCTTGTGGTTGTTGCAAAAACTACACAAATACTTGACAAGTGTGCTTTAATACCTGAAAAGTTGTTGTAGTACAGTCAAAAGTTGTAGTACAGTCAAAAGTTTTAATACAGTCAAGTGCTTTACTGGTTTATGAATGTTTGTTTAATTTATATGTTTTCCAAGTATGTCTATGGGAGTGGCAGTTACATATATGATATTAAGAGATCTTAATGTGCGACACTACATTTGTTAAATTTTCACAGACTGTGATGTTTGACCTTTTTTTTTGCCTTTAAAAGAAGAATTCTATTTGACAAAAACATGCATTACATAAACCATTGCACTTGTTGGTTGCCTTATGCTCCTTGGAGTTTGGAACCACACTTACAAGTTTGTAAAATCCTTGATATCCTTTTTATATGGAAATTACATTTGAGATTAAGTGTTTAGTCTTGCCTCTCAGCAAGGTTTTAAATCAAACCCAGCTGCCCTAAGAACTGGCCACACTGAGGTGTGATTTTGGTGTTGAGACCCTTGTTGGTTGAAGACTTAGCTTACTTAAAACAACATGAAGAACTCTTTTATAGCCTGATAATCATGGCATTTTCCTTTGAAAATATATTTAGAATGCCCAAAATACAGGGAAATAGAATCAGATTTTGTACAGTGTTTTGTGAATGGATGTAAATTTTAGTGTGCAAAGAGCACATCTTGCATGCTGAATAGAAAAGAGTAATTGATATATTATTAAAAGTCTTGTATGGTGTGCAGTGGTGATGTGTTTAAAGAAAATAATACTTGAAGGGGTTTTTCCTGCCCATAATCTGTGTTTCTGTTTTGCTTCAAGTTTAGTCTTGCCTCTCAGCAAGGTTTTAAATCAAACTCAGCTGCTGGATGAGCTGGATACATTGAAGTGTGATTTTGGTGTTGAGACCCTTGTTGGTTGATGACAGCTCAGTTAAAACATCACGAAGAACTGTTTTATAGCCTGATAATCATGGCATTTTCCTTTGAAAATAGATTTAGAATGCCCAAAATACAGGGAAATAGAATCAGATTTTGTACAGTTTTTTGTGAATGGATGAAAATTTTAGTGTGCAAAGAGCACATCTTGCCTGCTGACTAGAAAAAAATAATTAATATATTATTAAAGTCTTGTATGGTGTGCAGTGGTGATGTGTTTAAAGAAAATAATACTTGAAGGGGTTTTTCCTGCCCATAATCTGTGTTTCTGTTTTGCTTCCAGGGGGGACAGTGTATCAGCCAGTCACTGTGGTCACTCCACAAGGACAAGTGGTGACACAGGCACTGTCACCTGGCACTATTCGCATCCAGAACTCTCAGGTTTGTTGCACAAGCTCCACACAATGGTGATCTGGTTGGAAATACATCTCAGGGGGTTTGGGAGTTTTGATTTAAATTTGACACACTGGCAGAAGGAGCTCTGTGTACACACAGAGCAATTAACTATAAATTGATGCAGCCACTGCTGTGGGAGGTACAGGTTGTAGGAAATGTCATAAGGTCCTCCTTGCCACAACAGCTCATCAGAGTTCCTACCTTTTAATTGTGTTCTTTTACTGATGCCAGAAGAGTTGTAGGTACATGAAATTTTAAAAAAACCAACAAACTAAAATTTAAAAAAACCCCCACCTCTAAACCAAATCAACAACAACAAAGAAAACCCAAACCAAAACAAACAAACACAAACAAACAAAAACAAACAAACAAAATCAAAACAAACAAACCCAAAAAAACCAAAACAGACAAACCCCACACCAATGCAAACCAAAAAACCCTCTAAATTAAATGAATACTTTTTCAAGGATTATAACTTTTTTAATAATTGAACTCTGTTTATGGCTGGACAGATTTGATGTATTACATTAAGGTGCCACACTGCTATTGTGAGAAAATTGACTTGTTATTACAATTGCAACCAATGGAACTGTGAAACTATGTATTTCAGAGTTTAACCTTCAAAATATTTAATTGAGACACTGGGAGATCCTAATTTTGTCCCTTTATAATCTAAAATATAAGGGCCAGCACTCTTTTGTGGGAGGCTCTTAAGAGTTGATCTGAAGAGTTCAAAGAAACAACTAAAGAAAAAGAAACATGAAAATTAAACCATCTTCTGGGACAGAAAACCTTGCTGGCTTTCTCTGGAAGTGGTAAACCAAATCTTCCTGGAATCTGGATTTAATTAAAAATGTGAATGAGGAGCTCCCATCTCCCCAGCATAAAATCTGTTGGTAATCACTGACTCACTGGTTTCTTTTCCCCCTTTTTCTGGCCTTCCAACCAAAAAAGTGTGCACAGAGTGTTCTTTGAATTGGCAGGAGAATATCTGTACTCAGCCATGTCCCCCCCTAGAACACAGACAGCTCTGTCCTCACACACCTCTCAGAAAAAAATGTGTAAAATTACACTCCTGGACTGAAGGGATTTGGAAAAATTGAGGGTTTTTTACCTTTAATGAAAAAAAATAAAATACTGAGAGGAAAATAATGCCTCCAGTCTATAAATAAAAAAGGACTTGACCTCCTGTATACATCTGTGACTACTCTTGATGTTCGTTGGAGTCTCCAAAGCCACCTATGCAAAGGTCACTAATTGAAAATCCTTCTTTAGTGTTTCAGAATGCTGTGGAGGTAGGGAAAAGCACAGTAGAAAAGCTATTGAAAGTTCATTATAAAGCCTCCATATGCAAGCAGGTTATTTAGAATGTAAGACATTACTTTGGAAATTAAAATGTGCTCCAGATATATATTTGTAGTAATTTGATAGCCTAAACCTTGTTTAAAACTAATTTGCTACATATTGATTGGCTTAAGAAATTGCTCCAATTTGTCTGGAAAACCTGATTTAGAATTATTTTGGTTACAATTGTCTGAAATAGAATCTTATATGACAGCACATAAATTGTGCTGTTTCTTTCTATTTCTGCATAAGCATTTAAGAATGTATTTCCAAACATTCAGATAACCAATGTGCAAATGATTTGATGAATCCATAGGAAGTGAAAAACAAAGATAAAGAAATATGAATATTTAAGAAGTAATATGAATGTTGTAAAGTGAATTATAGGTTCTGCTGTATGGATTTTAATGCTCTTTGAGAATTTAATGCATTTATTTAGCAAGACCTTTAGCATCTTTTTTTTTTACAACTGCAGCATAATAATTAATTTTACTTTATCCTTCATTTAAGTCTTAAATCAGTAATATTTTACAGCTTCCATAGTTGTTTATGTTTGCACGCAGTGGATATATTCAAGATATTCAAGCCTAATTTCCTTTCATTCCTTCTATAAATAAATTTTCATTTATTGATACAGAACGGCCATTACTATGTTAACTGCTTTATTTCTCCTAAAATTAAATGTGCAGCTCCAGTTGCAGTTAAACCAAGATCTAGGCATCTTGCATCAAGATGATGGCTCATCAAAAAACAAGAGAGGAGTTCTTCCCAAGCACGCTACAAATGTGATGAGATCTTGGCTTTTTCAGCACATAGGGGTAAGGACTGAGCATGGGCAGTTTTTATGTAGCTCCTTCATGTGGTCTCTCACAATTTTTCTTCATAAACAAGGTGAATTTATTCTGTTGTCAGTTATGGAATCCCAGTTCAGCTTTCCCTGGAGTCAGTTGGAGTAGTTCCACAGTCTAATGCTGGTTGGCTTTTAGTAATGTTTTAATAAATATGTTACATTTGTACTGCATGGTCTCAATAAGTGCTTTTACAAGGAGCTTTTCTTCATTTCATTTGTGAGAACTTAATGCTCTCTTCACCCTGGTTCATGGCACAAGGAAAAGTAATTCCACCTGTATTTTGCAGTGTTTTAGGGGTATTTCACATTTTCTGTCTTTATCTCCTTTACAGTTCTTTCATGTGTACCAAGCATGTCACTATCTGCTTGTGCTTTCAATTGTCCTCCCTTTGCATGAATACTCTGAAAGGATAAATGGCTCCCAGGCTGTTTCAATGCTGACTTGATTGATATTTTGCCTTTTACAACTGGTTTGCAGCAGAGAACTGATCCAGGGAAGCTGCGTGTGCACTTCTTGTGTTACGTGCCCTGTCCTCATCTGCTTAGAGCAGCTTTATTTAACTCCAGTGCTCCTTTTTTTAACTGAGTGCTCCTCACTTCTCTCATATGACACTGCCCTGGCCAGCAGAACTAATCAGAGCTGCTCACATGCTGTGCTGCCCAGGGATCACGCTCTTTAATAAAGACTGTCAGCCATGAGAAGCTTTTTCTTCTGAATTACACAGCAGCAACTGCTTCATGGTGCCACAGACACTCTCAAGGATAAAATCAGTTTTTGTGTAGTGAAGCACTCTTTGTTGAATTATTTTTGTCTATAAAAGTTTGTGAGGTTTTCTAAGGTTTGTGTTTTAATGAGTCAGGTGGCCTTAATCCACCTTTTTTAATCAGATGTAATAAAGGAGTTCTTTTTGATGAGGAGATGGAAAACAAGCTTATGCCTTTTTTGTTTGCTTTTCTGGCCTCTGTAGCATCCATATCCAACAGAGGATGAGAAGAAGCAGATTGCAGCACAAACAAATCTGACACTACTCCAGGTTAACAACTGGTAAGAACAAAACCCTTAATATCTGTCCTTGTCTCCATGTGCTTACAGCTCAGAAATAGAGAGGAGGATAACTTGGACATCTGGAATTCAACTTAAATATTCTACATATGTTACAAAACATGTATAGAAATACAAGAGCTGTGCACTGGCACACAAGCACGTTATTTTAATAAGGTATAATAATACTCATGCCATTTAAATTATATAAGGACTCCAGAAAATATTGCAGCATTAGGAATTGGGTTCTGTTCCAGTGCTGAGAGAAATGGAAGTACTCTCATCTCTCTTCTGCAAGTAAAGAAGTTGAAGTCTAAAGGCATTTTTAGTGGCCTGGTGGCTGCAGGTGTTTAAGTTACTGGTAGCAGATTCTGTTCTTGTATCAAAGGATGCTCTCTCTCAATGGAGAGGCAGTTCCTCAGCTCCACCAGTTCATGGTTCAGCAGGTTTTGTCAGGTCTTGTCTTTCCTGGAGGTGTAAGATAAGACACCTGCCCTGCAGAAGAGAGGAGGGAAGGTGCTGACACATGTCCTGTTCTCCTTGTGGCATCAGTTCCTAAAATTGCTGCAGCAAAGTCCCACTGGGATCTGCCTCAGATTTCAAAGAGGACACTGGCTGTGAGGCTGTGGAGGGGTCCAGGGGGGAAATAGCCAAGATAGTGACAGAACACTGGTTCCAAAAGTGGAACAGGGTGGCTGTGCCTGTGTGACATGTGGCCATGGAGCTCTGTGCTGGGATCTGACTGCTGTCTTTGCAGAGCATTCTGTTACAACTTAGGAACCTGCCAGCTGCACCTGATTTCCTCCCATTGCAGGTAAACTTGGGACCTGGATGTATCTTTTTGTATTTTTTTGAAGATGATATCTTCAGTCACAACTCCCTGCCATAGCTCATATGTTGAAGTTGATTCAGTTTAAATATTCTCTTGTTCACTTGCAGAAAAGGGAAGGGCAGCAGTTACCATGCTAAAGTAAGCAAGTGAAAATCAGAGAACTGAAATGAACCAGGACAGACCTGACAAATGTGTTTGCTGTCATCTCCTGGATCAGGAGCCCTTGGAAAGGCAGGGAGCCTGTGAAATAAGTAATGCAGAAGCTTAAGGGAGTAAATGAAACCAGACCAAACAAAGCAGGCTAGGCAGGGGCTAGACTTTAGGTGAACCCTAATGAGAGGAGTATCAGCTTTCTGAGCTGGGCTGTCAGCAGGTTTTCTGGTGCTTAGTTTTTAATAAGATCCTGAAGGGTACATACATCTGTTGTGCTGTCTGGAGAATTTTTCCTTCTGAGGTGGGGGAAACATGCTGTTAGTGCAAAATGCTAGGAGTGCTTTCTTAGCTGGTTTGCCAAAATTGAAGGATGCTGATGTTCTAGGAGTGGTTCTACACTTTAAAAAGAATGTGAAGCCCAGGTGATAGAAGATTTCATATTCCTAATTTTATTTTTCCTGCTGCATACTTTGTGAATGCTAGAGACAGAATTTACAGCCAACTGATCCTAAGTTCACCTTGCCCTCGATTGTTTTTAGGTTTATCAATGCTAGAAGGCGAATTCTTCAGCCAATGCTGGATTCCAGTTGTTCTGAAACTCCAAAAACAAAGAAGAAAACAGCCCAGAACCGACCAGTGCAGAGGTTCTGGCCTGACTCCATTGCCTCAGGAGTTGCTCAGCAGCAATCCAACGAGCTCACAATGTCAGATGGTGAGGAGAGCTGCCTGAACATGGATCATAAATTAATTCCTCTCTGACAGGGAAAGGGAAGGTTTGATGCCTGTGCTGGGAGGGAAACTTCTGGATATTTCAGTATAAACGTGGTTTTAATCCGGGAAAGCATAACAGAAATGTGTCACTTTTTCCTCTCTTTAACACTTTTCTGTGGTTTAAGCAAGGGTATTGTATTGGAATTCATGTTGAGAAACTTGCTTTTGTTTCAAAAGTTATGAAATGACAGAATAAAAGATGTAAAACTGAGATGTACAGCTGAGTTCTCTCTGTGTGCACATCAGGAGTGTCCTGTTGGATGAGCAGCACTGGGCTGCAGCTTCATGGCTGAGCAGCTGCAATTCCACATCTGCCTCACAATGAGAGGCAGAAAAATGTCACAGAGCCTCCACAGACTTTGACTGAAGTAACTTCCTCAGTGTCAGATCAAACAAAAAGATTTACTTCAAGCAAGATAAATAACTGCTTTAATGCCAGGATCATCCTTTCTGTCCTGCTGCTTGGTGCTTCATTCTTTCCAGTTTGTAACAAATTTTCCTTCAGCCACTGTGGCAGTGTTCACAGGGGTTTCAGGATGAGGGAAGAGACAAGAATGTTGACTTTGTTTCAGAAAGCTTGATTTATTATTTTATTATATATATTATATTAAAAATATACTAAAAGAATTGAAGAAAAGATTTCATCAGAAAGCTAGCTAAGAATAGAAAAAGAATGATAACAAAATCACTCAGCTTTTATGATTGACTGAGACAGTCTGGACAGTTAGACTGTGATTGGCCATTAATTAGAAACAACCCCATGAGACCAATCACAGGTGCACCTGTTGCATTCCACAGCAGCAGATAATCATTGTTTACATTTTGTTTCTGAAGCTTCTCAGCTTCTAAAAAGAAAAAATCTTAAAGAAAAGATTTTTCATTAAACATGTCTGTGACAAACCTCTGCTGGATCTGACAACAGCTTTATCCATTGAAGTTACCTTGAATCTGAACCTTTTGAACCTTGAATCTACCCTTTTCCTGCAAGGAATTAAGCTGGAATACTCTGCAAGGAATTAAGCTGGAATACTTTGCAGAAATGTCATTGTGATGACTGGATTAGAGAATTGCTGTAGTGGATGACCATAAGACAGATTTAAGATTCACAACAAAAAGTTTAAGATTCCTGACCAACCTAATTCTGACACTTCCCGACATTTAACTATTTGACAACCAGACCAAACAAAGCAGGCTAGGCCGGGGCTAGACTTTAGGTGAACCCTAATGAGAGGAGTATCAGCTTTCTGAGCTGGGCTGTCAGCAGGTTTTCTGGTGCTTAGTTTTTAATAAGATCCTGAAGGGTACATACATCTGTTGTGCTGTCTGGAGAATTTTTCCTTCTGAGGTGGGGGAAAAATGCTGTTAGTGCAAAAGGATAGAAACAATTTATCTTCTATTTTAGCATAGTTCCTTGAGTTTCTGTGGTGGGTAGCTGTTGATTAAAGATAACTAGTTCTGTGGTAGCTGTTGATTAGCAAAAAGCCCCACAAACAGAAGGCCAGAGCGGTGCTGAAGCGCTGTGGTTGTGCCTCCTGCAGGTGCTGTCGTGACCATCACAGCCCCCGTGAACATGAACGTGGACAGTCTGCAGTCCTTGTCCTCGGACGGCGCCACGCTGGCGGTGCAGCAGGTGATGATGGCCGGGCAGAGCGAGGACGAGTCCGTGGACAGCGGCGACGACGACGGCGGCGACCTCTCGACAGCCAACATCGGCGGGCTGGTCCTGGACAACAGCGACTCCCTGCAGTAGGAGCCAGAGAGCCTGGAGGGGAAAAACACTTAGGAAAAAGAACGGACTGACTGACTGACTTTTTATAGTTTGCACAGCAAACATTTTACACAAGTTTTATTTCTAATATGTTTTATATGTAGATATAGAAGGGTGCACTTTTTTGTATTTCATAGTAAGCTTAAAGAGTGTTTTTGCAGGTGCAGCAACTTCTTTCAAATGTGTTTTGGTTTGGTTTTTTTGGGTTTTTTTTTGTTTCTTTTCCTTTCCTTATTTCAGAAAATTATATCTAGTAATATAAAGAACCACGTAAGCACCCCTTTGTTCTCTGAATTGGAAGTGCTGCAGTTTCTGATGAATTATGCAGTTTCAATTAGTGCTGTTATTTAACACAGCTTTTGATGGGCAGGTGATGTAAATTTAAAGCATGTGACACTAGTGTGTGAAACTTGATTATTGAGTTAGATGCATATATTTGAAAGATGCTTCTGCACCTTAAAAACTGCTAGTCTGAGGTGGACAGCAACACACATAAAAAGGAACTGTTGAGGTGTGATTCAGTAGAGAATGTATGGCAATTTAAATAAGTTTAGTTTCTCTCATAGTCCGTGAGCCTGTTTATCATTTGCTATAAAAACTCCTATTTTTACCTTGCTGGGGTTATTGGATAAAAAAAAAATATTTTTATAAATTCACTAGAAATTGGGATGACAACTGTATTAAGCAGGAGGAAAAAAAATAATTTCCAGAGGGGAAAAATAAATGTTTAGTATTCCTATTTGGAAGGTCTGAAAATTGACCCAATTTAATAAACAAGCCTACAGTAGCATTCTATGATTCTCAGCTATCCCACAGTGATATACTATATTTGATAATAGCATAAGAAGGGCCCACTGTTTGATGGGATTTTGATATTGTCAAACATTGATTTATATTATGTGTAAACTAATACTCAAATTGCATAACTCTGTATCTAGACTTGTATCTGAAAATATTTGCTAAATGAATATTCAGGTAAGTTCAAATACCCACAGCTTTTCCAATTATTAGAGAAATTTAACAGTTTATAGTTTGTACAACTGAATCTAAAAAAAATGAAAAGTTGCCTACTATACAGTCATGAATTCTGCTATTTTATTGCATTTGAAATATTTTCCCCTAATACAAAAAGAAAAATATAACATGGATTTATATAAAATTTCTCCAGATCTGAAGTTTACTACCAGAATATACAGCAGGCTTTGTTAGAGTAGGAAATCCTTGTGTGTCATTTAAAAAACGAAGAGCTGGTGATAAAAACAGCTGGGTTTTGGTTTGGTTTTGTTTTGGGAATTTTTTTTTGTTGTGGTAACAGTTCATTTCTTTCATTTTCCTAAAGTTTGAAGTCTGTGATTGTCTATCCATGAACATTTGCTTTTGGAACTTTGTATTTCCCATTGTTGAGTACAAATAAGAGACTCAAGAGCCTCATGCTATGATCAACACCCTCTTTTGTCCCTGTCCATTTGTCACAGTGTTGGCTTAGATCAAAGCCAGAATTTCCTTCTGATTTTCACCAAATCTGGGTGTGTTTCTAACATGACAGGGAGAAAGGTGGTCACCTTTAGAATCTTCAGACACTGTATTTGAACAAAGCCCTTTGGCAGATGCAGATATTTATTAAATACTTAATTTCTGCTTCTCAGAGCACTCAGGCACTTGCTGAGGTCCCCTTGGTTCCAGGAGGATGAAGGATTGTGCTGCTGGACATGCTGAGGTGGCTGGAGGCTGCTCATGGCAGGTTCTCTTCCAAGGCAAGGCTGAGTTGGTAGGAAGAAAAGCTTCAGGAGGAAATTTCAGTGGCATTGCCACACACACATGGAGAATAACAGGAGTTCTCAGTGACTGGGAGTTATTATTTTAAATGGTTTTTACTCAACACAAGAGGTGTTTCTGCTCTGGCTCTCACTGGGTCCTGGCTGAAGATCTTCCTTAGTTCAAGGGCTGTCATGATCTGCTCCACTGGATTGGTGATTTCTAAGAATTTATTTTCTTCTGATTTCTCTGCTTTGCCACTCATGTGCCATGTTGGATAAACAGCACAGGAAATGAATAATGGGAGATGAATTAGGTAGGCTTTGACATAGCATGGCTATCTCAAAGGCTGCTGTCAAATCCAGTTTGACCCCAAAACACTGTAAAAGATAAACCATGTACAGATCCTGTTCCTTTGGAAGCATTCAGCCCCTACAAAAGATAGCTCAGATTACTGGAACTCAGATTCTGTATTTTTGTTTTTAGTTGTTTTTAACTCCAAGAGTGCTCCATTACCCCCACCATCTCCATTCAATAGCAGATAATATTTGTTGGTTTGTTTGGGGTTTTTATTGGAAACAACCAGGCCTCAGGGTTTGCAAACTTCTGAAAGTTTATTTTTCAGAAAGAAGCCATTTTCTAGCTAGTTTTTTAAAATTTTATTTTAAATTATTACTCCCCCCACCTTACATGCAGCAGAAGTTCTATTCTTCCAAAACATGACTTTGCCTTCAGCTACTTTATCAACTCCTGGAGACTGAAGTTGACAGAGTTTACTGTGAAAGGGGAATATGGAATAGTTTCACTGTCAGATTAGAAACATTAAAAAATATAGAGACTTGAATTCCTAAAACTGAAAAGGCTTCACCAGTGTAAAAGTATTGCTTAACATGTGAAACTCAAATATTTTCTTTCAGTTCAGTGAGAATTCTGTAGTGGGTGTGAACTGCAGGGAAGTGCTTGTTCTTTTCATAATTTAAAAGAAGGAAAAACAAGTAGGAAACAAAACAACAAAACAAAAGAAGGAAAAACAATACTTTGGTTTTTTTGTTGTTTTTTTTTTTCTTCTGTGTAGAAAGGATTGCTGGTTTCAGCAAAGCATCACCATTCAGGAAAGGTACATGTTTACATTAGTTAAAAAGTCTTTACAGGGGATCTGACTTTGAGTCTGTGTATAATTCCCCCTGCCCCCAGTTGAAGTCATATTCATATGCAATGGAACTAATTTGGTTTTTGAATCAATGTGATTCTTCTGCAAACACAATTATTGAAACTTTTAATTTTTATATTTTTTTCACTCTAACCCAAAACAGGGTTCTCAGTCCAATTTTTTTCAATATTCCTGGAACAGGCAAGGCAATTTTCTGTTGTTTTTTGTTAACTTTGGACACATTGCAGTTCAGCAAATCAATTCCAAAACGATCAGGAGAAGTTTCTGAATGTCTGTTACAAAGAAATAATCACGTCAGAAAATGCTCAGAATCAGCTCTGGCTCTGCTCAAGGTTTTCTCCATCTGGATTTTGTGTCTCAGTGGAGTCCTGCTGACCTCAGGGAAGCTCCACTGGATCCATGTCAGGCTCATTTGCCTTCTCCTGGTACCTGCTCTCTGTCAGGAATATTTGGAGAGCTCTCCTTGCCTGCACACCTGGGTCTTTTCCATGGAAACCTGGGCATGGATGAAGGGCTTGGCAGGGCAGGATTTTGTAGTGACCTGGGGTGCAACAAATAAATCTTTTTTTGATGTTCAAGATGCAGCCAGGAGGCAGAGCTGAGTGAGGAATTGCAGTTCCCAATTCCTGTGCTTCCAAAGTAGCTTTAGGTCCATGGATATTGGAGTGGAATAGGAGCACACATGGCTCAAAGCCCAGCTCCTGGCCTGAGCTTGGCTCAGTTGGTCAGAGATTGGTGCCAGTGACACCAGGGCACAGCTCTGATCCCCAACTGGGCCATTCCCTGGGGGCTGGACTCCTTGTGGGTCCCTTCCCCCTCAGAGTGAAATAATCCATGGATTTGTTTCTGGAAGAATCACAAGTCCACCTCCCTGACTTCAGGAACTTGGCAGCCCATGGGATAAAACAAAGCCTTTCCAAGGGATGATAGTTGCACTTAAACAAAAATCCACAACACCCTGGTTGTTGAAAAATTGGAACACATGCATTTAATTGTAATTAAAGTTGATTTAACATTTTGTTTTCTGAAGCTGAGTCGTCATCTTGGGAGAAAAAAAACGAATAAGTATTTGTCTATGCAAGACACAAATGTCAAAAATGTGTGAATTACCCATCTTTAGGTACTGTATTGTTATTGTCTTTCTGCCTTCTGTTCCTTTGATTAGTCTCTTCAACCTTTCAGCCTTACATTTGGCTTAGAGCTGAACAGGCGAAATGTAGTTTTGAAATCCTGTTGGAAATGTAACTAACCTTCGTTCCCTCATGAAAATCTCGCATGTTAAACAATTGAGTGAAATGTTTTGGTTTCCTAATAATAAATTCAAGCTCTCACCACCTCCTGAAGACAGCAGATCCATGAACATGCACGTATGACGGCGGTGTGCAAACCACCCAACCAGCAGCTGGATGTACTTTGCTCTTCCCTCTGCTGAGGACAAAAGCAGCTTCATTTTGCCAAATTCAGCATGGATTCCTTCCCCCCTTCCCTGCCCTTGGCATGCTTAACTCCTTCAGAGACCTTCTGGGCTGTTTAATTTTCAAGTCCTACAGGAACCTGCTGGTCCAGTGCAAAGTGCAGTGAAATTGGCACTGATGTGTTTTTTTGGTGATTGCCCAAATCAGGTAATTTGTTCGTACCTGTCACCTGGAAATACAAAATCCATTCCTTTTCTGTGACTTAGTTCTTTAGGACCTGCTGAGTGATCACTGTTGGTTTTGCCAGAGAAAAGCAAGGTGTGAGAAGGCAGGAAAATTCCTTTCCAACCTTGTAGACACATAAGGACTCAGAGTTGGTGTTAATAAAATCCAATGTTTCAGGTGGTGACAGAAGCTGCCCATGCCCTGCCCAAGGATTGCAGCACTGGGTCTGTAAAATTGACAATCTTTAAAATGTGAACCCTCTAACTTTTCTCTCTTTGGTTGTTAAGGGATTTTGCAGCAACTGATCTATCAAGGGATGAAATTAAAAATGAGAATATGCTTCATGGATGATTTATTTTTACACTGCTGCTCTCTGTGAACAGAAAAAGCACATTTTGGAAGCAAAGCATTTACATTGCTTTAACAGTATTGTTTGGCTGAAAGACAAATATGTTTTCAGGAAATCTTGAGCATAGTTTCAAACTATTTAACCAGTTCTTGGCCAGGAGAAGTCCTTGGCCCTTGTATTTGTTTGGGGTTTCTTGTTTATGCAAATGAAGAAAAATGTTTACTAGTTCTTACCAGTGTGGGGATTTTTATTACACTTTTGTAATGCAGGAGCAGCTTGGATGAAAGAAAGAATTAGCAGGTAAATAGTCCACAATGTTTGTGACTTTGGGTGGGCTTTTCTTTTTGTTGTTGTTTCAAAATTATCAATTAAAATGGCATGGACATCAAACTCCAAGTAATGGTTCCAAGCATATATGGTAGTGATTTATTTGAAAACACTTCCTCTCTGCAAATTCCATGTGTTAACTTGTTTAGCCAGATTGTAACACACATCTAAAATTACCAAATGTTCTACCAAATGAGAAATCTTCAGGAAATGAGCAGCTCCTTTGTTACAAGAATCTTCTCAACTAAGAATCTCAAACTCATTTCATATCCAGCAAGTCCTGCTCAGCAGAGATTAAATCAGATGTAGGTAGTCCTGGATTTACTTTTGTTGAGTACTCGAGCATTATTTATTCCTGCTGGAGCATTATTTATTCCTGCTGTCTCTTCCCCAGCATCTGGCATGGTGACACCCACAAGTGCCTACAGAAGGGAAGAGAGCAGATTTTGGATGATGTTTTGTGGTTAGAGGGTTAATCTGTGGATAGACAAGTAGTTTGTGCTCTAGACAAAGGAGTATTTATCATTTCCTTGTCTGGCATTAGAGGGGTGTCTGAGAGTAGTGCCAATAACTCCTGGAAATAATTTTAACTCCACTGCTGCCAGGCAGCAATTTTTTCCTTAATCTGAAATGAATAAACAACCTAACAAAAAAAAAATCCCCCACCTGTAAAGTACAAAGGGGAATGGCTTCAGACTGAGAGGGAGTAAGGTTAGATTGGATCCTAGAAAAGATTCTTCCCTGGGAGGGTGGGCAGGCCCTGGCACAGGGTGCCCAGAGCAGCTATGGGTGCCCCTGGAAGTGTCCAAGGCCAGGTTGGACTTTGGGCTTGGAGCAGCTTGGGGTGGTGGAAGATGGCCCTCCCCATGTCAGGGAACTTGGAATTGGATTAAGGTCCCTTCCGACCCAAACCATTCTGTGATTATATGATTATGCCAACAAAATGAGGTCCCATATTGAGTATTTTTAGTTGGATGGTTTCAAATTCCCCTGAGAGATAAATCCCCTCTTCAAGAAGCCATTACAGGAATCAGAAGTAAATAGTTGTAAATAACTGGTGAGCTGGTTTGCTTTTGTGGAGCATCAGTTTACAAAGTCCTTAGTCTGCAGTTTAGGTCTGTTCCTAAGTAACTCTCTTCATAAAAACCAGAGCAATATCCTCAAAGCTAAAACAAAGGAAAATAAATGACACACACA